GCCTAGCCAAGAAGCAATTGGAATGGTAAGGTAAAGATGTGTCAAAGCTTTTGTAAAAAATTAACAGATCAACTCTACAATATGAAATGAGGAAGAGGAAAACAAAGAAGTTGATGAAGAGTTAAATTCTCTGGTTGAGTTGGAATAAATTCAACTACGAGCACGGCTTATTAGCATAAACCCTCAGCTAAGGTTAATTATCTATCTGAATTTGTTTTTGAATAGATTTAAGTATGCCTGAAGTATTAGTAAAGTATGTATGAGTAAAGGAAATTAGAATGCTAAATGGACCTTTACTCACCAATAGATTCATTGTTTAGAACTGCGGAATTTCTTTGCTAAGCTTGAAGAGTGTATTAATTTTAATTGGAGAAGATAACAATTATCTACTAAAGTCCTAACTATCAAGAAGAATCATTAAGAGTTCATTAAATCATAAACTTCACAAAAGTTTCTCTAAATGTTTCAAGGGATCAAACTTTTAATTTGAATCAATTGAATTAATAAAACCACTCTAACAAGTCATGAAGTTGGTTTTTAATTTCCACATTAGTATATGAGTGTTCGCCATCATTAATCTCTTTACAATATCATTTAATAATGTTATATTGCTATTTGTTTGTAAAAATAGTTTATAGCTGAAATTTCTTTATGCTCATCAAATTGCTTTGAAAATGTGGAGTTAATTACTTTATCCTTCTTGATCAAGCTTAATTGATTGTAATTAAAGCGTTTGATTCTTTAGCAGTAAATTTCCAAAATATAAAATCTCAGATTTAATCTTAATGTCTAATTTAACAAATTTTTTGTGTCTAAAAAACCAACCTATTATAAAGACTTAATAAACTTGGAAACTAAAGAAAAGTAACCAATTCATTACTCTGATTAACTTTTAGTGAAATAGTTTTGCTTAAGCCAGAAAATTTAATTCTGATCTAGAGTCCTTAAGAACTCTAGCTTTATTTCTTAAATTTACGAACAAAAAATCATTTTAATTATAATTTCAAAGATTTCTTCAATAATCTAGCTGTTTAAATATTCTTCAATATTAAAAGTGCACTTTAATTTTGGATTATTAATTTTTATTTATAACTTAATTATAGCAAATAACTAAATACAACCTTCTATTTTTGTTGATTTTTTTTGATGAGTTGAAATATTTAGTTTAAAACAAATGTGAGAAAGGTTTACGAGAACAAGTAAGAGAGAAGAATAAGGGGGCAATTCGTCATAATTTTTTAAAAAGTTAAAATAAAGCTTTCGCCTAAAAAATTGTCAAAAATCTTCCATTAGTAAGAGATGCATATACGCAGTTTTGAATAAAGTTAGTTAAATTAGCAAATGTAACAGATATATCAAATAATATTGTACTAATTCAATTTATAAATATTCATTTTTTATTTTTTAATTCAACAATTAAACATTTAAATTTCTCCTAATCTTATTGGCAATATAAGATTGCTTGTTCATAAGTCTTTAGAGCTAAAGAGTAATTCTTGATTTTTTATAATAAATCCCCTAATACAATCAAGAATTTTACAAACCTTTATATAAATAAGCATATGTATAAGTTGGATCTAATTGGATTGCTTTATCATAGCAAACAATTGCATCGTTAGATTTGTTAAGGTTACTTAAGGAATAACCTAATATAATCAAGAATTTTACAAACCTTTATTAAAATAAGCATTGGTAAAATTTGGATCTAATTCGATTGCTTTATCAAAGCAAACAATTGCATCGTTATATTTGTTAAGCTTATGTAAGGAATTACCTAATATAATCAAGAATTTTACAAACCTTTATTATTATAGGCCATCGCCAAATTTGGATCTAATTG